CAACTGATAGTTACAAACCACCACCCACTAGAAATAATCAACTGATAGTTACAAACCACCACCACCACCACCCCCCTAGAAATAATCAACAGATAATTACAAACCACCAACTTAGCTCTCTCGCCCTTGAGGACTAATTATAGTACTATTTGATGGCTATTTGATGGTTTGCACTCTACCTTAGTCTCACAAAAGTGTACTCTGGAATTGTTTTCTCTCTACAAACGTTTTTCTTAAGTGTTTTTTCCTCCTACCTGAATTGTCCGAGTCAGCATTTTTAGCGCCTTGACCATCACGTCCTCCTGCCCACTCTCTTCCTCCATGTCCCTGATTACCAGATATGGACACACTAGCATCCCCTCGGGAGTGTCGTTGTGTAGCTGATTCGATACCAGCTCCTCCACCAGCAATGATCAGGGGGGAGCTGTCATTTCTAACAACAAAGCTACCTCCTCCTCCACCAGAAGAGCTGGATACAATATTTATTCCACCCTCTTGTCCCACGAGTATTTTGATTAGTTCTCCTTCTAGAAGTTGAAATGTACCAATCATACGAGCACCCCGTCCACGGTAAAGGCGGGAATTCTGTCCAGTGTCATAGCCACCGCTAGCACCAACAGCTTCTATTCTATACGAACCAGTAAGTGGTACTTTCCATATTTGTATGCCAGACGATAAAGCAACCTGTCCATAATGACTTTGACCATTGTAATGACTACCAATAGATTTTGGGCCAAGACGACCTATTGCACCAAGATTGGAGAACGTGGCTCTGAAAGCTAAGCATGCACATTTGTGACATTTGATATATAAGCACTGGCGTAGAGGCAGACAGACAGACAGACTTTTTTATTCTGTATCGAGTATTAAAAAAATACATTGACATTTTACCCGAATAAACATTAACGTATGAAGGCTATAATTGTTGATTTATAGTAGTTTTTCTTATGTTATAATGGTTCACCTATTTAACCTATTTAGTTCGATTACTATTTTAGCCTAGTCTGGGTAAGAAGACCACATACTATATTAATTCTGCATTGTATGTGATCTTTTTATAATAAGCAGTTGTGGAGATATTTTGCTACTGCAACTGCTAACATTTTGGGCGGACTCATAAATAGCAGAAACAGCTCGTTCTCATTTAACAAAAGAGAATCATTGTTTATGTTATTTATGTTCTTGAAGAGTTCTTCCCTTAGATTTGAATATAATGTACAGTGAAGAAGGAAGTGCTTCTCATCTTCTACACTATCTGGGCAATGGAAGCATCTCCTTTCTTCTGTTTTTTTGTACTCCCTTGAATGTCTCCCCTTTTCGATTTCAAGGTCGTGATTACTAATTCTCAACTTGGTTAATGCTTTTCTGTGTTCAAAATTCTTAACTTCGATTAAATAATTTTCAAACGAGTAATCTGTTTTTACCAGACGATATGTCCTTAATATATTTTTTTGGCCTGGTGGGCCTCTTCTAGTTTTTTCATCGTTGAAGAGTTCCACTCGCCAGACTTGAATTTCTATATCCGTAGGGGGAGGCAAGGGGGCACGTGCTCCCCCCACCCCCTTCCCCCCCAAGAAAAAGTATTTTTAAAATTTAATTAATTCATGCGGGATTCCGGTGGATTTGGCGGGAAAATGGTACATAGCCCCAGTATAAGCGAGATCTCGCTACGTTCCTGTATATAACTGATACTAAAGATGAAATTGGTGAGCTTGGCCAATTTGAAAACCAAAAGTATAACTACTTCAGGGAACCTAATAATTTTTGCACAGATAGCAACGGTATAATTACCTTGATAATATATAATTAACGTTGTATAAGCTGTCGCTTCACCAACGGAATTGACTGCACTGCACTTATAAGTCACACTATCGCTCAACTGGAACCTTCTTATAATCAAAGTACCGTTGACTTGTTGACTTCTTTTTGGAGAAAGATCCCCGGTGAGCCTAGACCACGTGATCACTGGCAAAGGGTACCCACTCGCTTTACATGTCAATCTTACTGTTTTTCCATGTTTAATCCTTAGAAATGAATCAGGTGTCGACAAGAACTGCGGAGAAACTACAAAGACATGAATACTTGTTTTATTTAATAGTGTATAATAGGGTATAACTTTAACCCAGGGTAGAAATTTCGTTTTGTATGGAGAAGAGTAGAAATGGCACGACGTGAATTAATTAACAAAACCCTGCGAGCAAGGTACACTCGTACCCAGAGCTCCACGATTTCGTTCATAACTGTCTGAGGCTCAAATCGACCGCTTTTCCTCGATGCTGATTGGTCCAAATAGCCGCTAGCGCCAACATTTCAAATGATTAATGCTAGAAGCTTCTTCATGATTGGAGGATTATATTCGATGTTCTGAACATTTTAGGCTGGAACACGAAGTAGGGAGGTAGGGAGGTAGGGAGGTAGGGAGGTAGGGAGGTAGGGAGGTAGGGAGGTAGGNCAACTGATAGTTACAAACCACCACCCACTAGAAATAATCAACTGATAGTTACAAACCACCACCACCACCACCCCCCTAGAAATAATCAACAGATAGTTACTAACAACCACCACCATAGAACCACTACCCTCGAGAAATACTGAACCGATAGTTACAAAATCACAAACCACCTCCTCAAGGACCGCGGAGGACCCTTAATAGTTGGAAATAGTGGAAGCCACGGTACACGGGAAAAGGTTGAGATCTGGACAACCCAGGAAACCCAATTCCAACCGAAATAAACTTTTTTCAGAATATCGTAATGAATTTTGCTGCAACATTTTACAAATACTGATTTTCATGAGATTAGATATATATTAAACATAGGGGTCTCACTATTTTATTCGCCGATCGTAGATTAAAATAATAACATAGTGTTTATGCAAACGTCTAAAAGCAGGGGTTTAGATTTTAAGTTTTAGTGGATATTAGAAATGTGTGGGATAAAGCCTTGAAGCCCTTCAACCATCGCTCGCAGTCCTTGGTTTTTGGTGGTTTCACAAATTAACAATGATACTCTCTTGTAATCTTTCCCGTACCTGAATTGTCTGATGATATATCAACTCTGGCGCCTTGGCCGTCACGTCCTCCTGCCCACTCAGTTCCTCCATGTCCATGATTACCAGATGTGGTCACATTAGCATCAGCACTAGAGTATCGTCGTGTAGCAAATTTGATTCCAGCACCTCCACCAGCAATGATCAGGGGGGAGCTGTCATTTCTAACAACAAAGCTACCTCCTCCTCCACCAGAAGAGCTGGATACAGTATTAATTCCACCCTCTTGTCCCACGAGTATTTTGATTAATTCTCCTTCTAGAAGTTGAAATGTACCAATCATACGAGCACCCCGTCCACGGTAAAGGCGGGAATTCTGTTTATTGTCATAGCCACCGCTAGCACCAACAGCTTCTATTTTATACGAACCAGTAAGTGGTACTTTCCATATTTGTATACCAGATGATAAAGTAACCTGTCCATAATGACTTTGACAATTGTAATGACTACCAATAGATGTTGGACCAAGACGACCTGTTGCGCCGAGATTGGTGAACTTGGCTTTGAAACCTAAGAATGTACAATTGAGATATTTTATATGTTTTTTCTTTGTAAGGTAGGTAAGTAGTTAGGTAAATAAGAAGGTACGCAGTTAGGCATGGGTGGGTAGGTAAGTAGGCGGGTATGTAAGTTGGTAGGGAGGTAGGGAGGTAGGGAGGTAGGGAGGTAGAAAGGTAGGGAGGTATTTAGATATTAGATAGTTTAACAAGGAAGCAATTACAAATGAATCTGAAGTTATTTTCTTGTGTTACCTTGAACAAATAACTTTACATTTTTCGATGCTTCTCCTAGAACACTCTTCGCAGTACAGACATAACTATCGGTATCATTACTATCAACTGTGAATATCTGTAATAACCCTGACTGATCCGTGTATGTTTTACTAGCTTCAAGTTGACCAGACACTTTCTTCCAGGTTAGTCTTGGTTTTGGATTGCCGTGTGCATTGCAGTGAAATGTAGCATTCTGGTTCTGGTGAAGTGTGAGAGTTGACGGGGAAACAAAAACGGTTGGCTCAGAAACCTGCTCTCCTGGTTCCCCTTTTGGTCCCGGCAAGCCTTTCGGACCGGGAAGACCAGTGTCTCCTTTCTGTCCATTCATTCCAGGGGGTCCTCTCAAACCTTGTTTACCGTACTTGCCAGGGGTTCCCATTGGACCTTGAGCACCTTTGCGTCCTCTAAATCCTCTTTTACCACGCTTCCCCCGGACACCCTTTGATCCTTTTTTTCCTGGTCTTCCTTGAATACAAACTTTGTTTGGTGGATGACAGAAATGAGAAGCAGTCATGTTCGAGAGAACCTGTTGGATTTCTGAACGAACTGCTTCCACAGTAACGCGAGAGACATTCTTGTCAATAACAGAACGTCTTACTCGCAGATGGGACTGCCGTGACTTGATGTTTTCTGCTCTGTTGAAACCTTGAAAAGAATTTGTGATTAGAAACGGAATTATCGGGTCAACGAGTGGGTCAGGCATATTTGGCTCGAACATTGTCCTATTATATTTCATATCCACCTTTGAGATAATCTTTTTATTAATATATAAATTAACAACTTCAACATATTAATACTGCTAATAAAATCCATTGATAATCCATGAAAAGTATTGATAAAAGAACTATTGGTTGATGTCTAACAATTACATTACCTCTGTCAGTTCTAACAGTAGTCTCCACGTTCTTGACTGCATGTTGGTTTAGAGTTTTAAGCTGCGTCTTGTGGTCATCGAGTTCTCTCTCAACAGCAGCGAGTCGTTGGTTCAAAGTGATGAACACGACAACAACTGACAAACCAACCAACAGATAAAGGACAAATGAGACTAAAACAAAGCCATTTTGATGAGTAACCCGCTTGTTATTAGACTCTACTGGATCCTTGTTACACATTGGGCCAGGCTTAAACAAAACCATCGAGTCGTAAAACTATGAGTATGTTACTTTGATGACGCATTAAATGCCAGTCATCATGCTGAGTCGTCCGTTTGGTTAAAATGTGTTCATACACGTTTATATCTGTCCATGAAAATATTTCCAAAAACTGTTTATACTACGTGAAAACATATCTCTTCTCTTTCTTTACCTTGGAATTCCTTGGAAGCAAACAGTAGATTCTGTGATATGAAGACCACGCAAACCCTTTAAAATATATAAGCAGAGAGGATCCCAAAACAGGGGCGGCGGAAGCTAAAAACCTTTGGGGGGGGGCACTGAAGATTATATTTAACGCTATGTGATAATGACAATGTTTTGTTTGATTGCAGACCCATGCGCCGTAAAACAATGACTAAGAACCAATATTTTTTGGGGGGGGCCTGGCCCCCCCCAAACAATTTGGTGGGGGGAGCAAGTGCCCCCCGGGCCTCCCCGGTTCCGCCGCCCCTGCAAAAGAATATTTTCCTATCAATAATATTTCTGGTCCCAAGAGCCCTCTTTTGTCTATTAGTTTTCATCAATAAATTTCCGCATACGAATGGGGGAGATGACTAGCAAACAGAATCTCACGGGTTTAAATCCCGTCTGGAGCTCGGGTTTTTTTTCCGGATAAAAAGTTTGCTTGATGAAACACATATCGCATCTGTAATAACTTTCTAAGTAACAAATACACCTCATTGTTGATGTAAACTTAGATATACGTTTCATTATTCTGCGTCTCAAATACCTTCCCTAACGTTCCCGGTCAATAGTAAGGTCAATTCTCGATATTAGATTTGTCATCTGGCAGATCACTATAAAAAGTAGCTGCGTAGAGGTCTTAACAAGGTTAGGGGAAGAGGGAAGGTTGGGAAGTGGGTTGCAAAAGACTATCTTTAGAGTTTCCCGCCTTTACTACAACTTTAGTAAGAGTGGGGGGAGGGGGAGGGGGTTAGTA